AAGGTTTGTCCCGGATGGAGGCAACAAATGGTGAATTTGCCGTGGTAGAGGGTTTATGCTGGATGTTCTGCATGACCCCTTGGAGTTGGAGCTTCATTGCTCGGAGCTCAGCGTCCCAGAGGGGAACGTGGTCACCATGGTCAGTTAATGGAGGCTGGACGCTGCTGGCCTCTCCTTGGTGCTACAACCGACGGGTGTGAGGGTGGTGGTGGTGGATTTATATATGGGTGGGGAGGTTGCAAACCTTCCGAATTGGGTGGATGGAGTTATGGAGCAGTATGGCCCGGGGCTCTTTCTTGGTTGGGCGGAATATCTGGAGGTGGTGGAGGAGGCATCGGAAGGTTTTTTTGGAGTAAAGCATTTATCAAGGCCTGATTTTGCTCGGCCATGCGGTTAATGCTGTTGGTAAGCTTGATAAAATACTGTGGTGGGTTGTTTAGATTGGGGGGGTCGGCCTGATGGTCGGCAGCATTATTGTGAGAAGCCATGGATCTAGTCGTGACCATACACTTTGACGGGTGGGAGAAAAAGGTTGTTGGAACGGGGTCTCCGGCGACAGTGAACATAACTGGCGCGAGAAGCAAAGCGTTTCCCACAGACGGCACCAACTGTTGATACAGTTTATCCCAGTGAATGGAGCGAACTGGTCCAAGCTCCTCAAGCCCAAGCCCAAATGATCGTGCCCACTGGATAACCTGCAAACAAGTTCAACGGGGACCGGGGTAGTCCCCCAGTGAACCCTCCGACGAGCAAGTTAGGAAGAGAAGTAGAGTATAGAGGGAGAGATTAGAGATAAAAAGCTTAACCTTTTTCTTATCTTCAACGTTCGTTTATATCCTTTGGCAATCATTTCGCTGTCCCTTCCGACCTGCTCTCCTCGCCGAAAGCCTATGCTGTAGCTTACCTTACTCAGGGTAAGGGGGTCGTGTTCCGGCGGAGAGGTGTTGTCGTAATAAATGCTGTGATGGGCTGCATTAATGGTGATGTGCAGTGAGAATAACTTTGCAGATCTTTGTCTGCTGATGTGGCTCGTCCTTCTCTTGCCGTGTGTCTGAATGTCATTGGCTCTTTATGCCATGTTGGACTCCAGCTGTCCTGGACCTCACCAGCTGGGTTATGCACTGGGCTCCAAGTGATGGGCTTGGATTGTCCATAGGTGATTCGTGGCCTTTATGGGCTTATACATGTCAGTAGTCCCCCATTCCCGAGTGCAGTTTTAGTCCAACGAAGGGAATATTAATGACGTAGATGAGCGTGTTAGGGATTGGCAGGATGGAGGTCGAACGGCAGGGGTGATCGAGGGGGGTGAACCGACCGGAAGGTGGTCCGACTGTCGTTACGCACTAAATATATATATATATATTTAAAAAAATAATCATAATTTGAAATAAGTAGATCAGATTTATTCCACACCATTTGAATTTGTACAATATATTCAAATTTTGAGTTTATAAATACATTGTTAAGTTATATCATTTTTGTTTTCAAATATTAATTAAGAAAATGTAATTAAAACACTAAATAAACAAAGAAACACTTTAGATGGTGATCACAAATAAGCATGAAGCACTATATTATTTGGTTTGATTAATCTTACAAATAAATTATCAATCATATACCATACCTAATTGTTGTACTAAGAGTCTCCAATGGCCTAAATAAATTAATCATCTTGGCCATTTTATTAAATTCGAGATCTTTCACCTTATTAATTGCAACAGTGCAACTAATTTAAACATTAGACCACAAATCGTATGATTATACATCTGTGAAAAATTTTAAGGAGGTGGTTTAGGCAATTTGCGTGGTGCATAATAATGCTCACCATGATATATATATATATATATATAATACACCAAATTATATCTACTTTTTAGTTGTATTTATAAGAAAAAAATAGAGTAAAAATCTTGAAACTCCAGAAAGCACCTATTATGAAATTTTAATGTAGAAAATTAACTCGGTAAAATGATAAATATCTTCGGTTTATTGATTTTTGATTAAAAATAATTAGTAAAAAAATAGTTTTAAAGAATAATATATTGTATTGTATATATAGTGACATAAAAGGGAAAAATTAGAGAAAATTAAAAAATATATATGTGGCTTGAGTGACAAATCAATCTTAACATTTTAATTATTTCAACATAAATTTTAAATTTTTAAAATGATATCAATTTTAACCATCTGTTTGTATCTAGTAGTTATAACTAACAAAAAAATGAACAATTTAAATAATTTAACTATTTTTTTCCTTCTTCATTCATTACTATTGATGACCATTTTTCACCGTCGCTTATCACCACTCCCTTCTCTTTTGTCTATTGTCATCTCTATCATTCTTTCTTTTGTTCACAGCCACTTTTATTGTTTATCAGTACCGATAAAAAGTGTCTACATTGTTTTAGTTCCATTAGTTATATGATTAGAATTAATACAATTTTGAATATTAAAAGTTAAAATTAAAATAAATAAAAAGTTATGATTTGGTTTGTTAAATCTTTTCAATTTTTTTTATAATTTTTTAAAACAATAATAAAGTCTGTGCGCTCGACGCGCGTGAAGAGCCTGTGGAGTATATTTAAATGAAATTCAAAATATCAAATGAGGACAAAAAAGAAGACGAACAACAGCAGAAAGTATCATCAGAAGCCACAGTTCAGTTACAAAAGCTCAACAGTTGAGCTACAGATACACCCATTAAACACTCCCTCCTTTTCAAATAATTGGTATATGACTATCTTTTTGATTTAGGCCTCGGACTAAATTATTTTTGTAATGTTTTAATTTTTTTTACAAAAAAAATATACAAAAAAATAAAAAGAGCAATATGATAATTTATAGTGATTTTTTATTTTTTTAACTAAAAAATAAATGTTATGAGTGAAATTTATTTTAAAATGTGATTTAGGGTTCGTTTAAGAAAAACTTTTTTAATTAGGTGAATTACATGAACCGTCTCTATAGTTTGGAATTTGTGTCACTTTGGTTCTTAACTTTTCAATTGTGACACATTTGACATTGAATTTTGAATCTTATTCCAAATAAAGACAATTGAAGATATTATTATTAAAATTTTCAAGGATAAATTCGTCAATTCGATAAAATATAAATTAATTTGACAAAAATAAATATCAAAAAATTATTTTTGAATTTTGTTAAATTATTTCAACCTACTAAAGATAAAATTATATAAAATTGATAATTTTTTTACACATTTATTTATTTTTTTACCAAATTAATTTTTATTATATATTTGAATGATGATCATGTAAAATTAATTTTTGAAAATTAATCATATAATTTTTATTAATTTTTATCAATTTTACATAATTTTATCTTTGGTGGATAGAAATAATTTTTAAAATAATTTTTTGACATTTATTTTTATCAAATTAACTTATATTTATTAAATTGACGATTTTATTCTTGAAGTTAAGCAATGGCATGTTCAATTATCATTATTTGATACAAGATTCAAAATTCAAGGTCAAATGTGTCACAATTGAAAAGTCAGTGATCAAAGTGTTATGAGCCCCATTTTATCTTTGGTGGATAGAAATAATTTTTAAAATATTTTTTTGACATTTATTTTTATCAAATTAACTTATATTTTATTAAATTGACGATTTTATTCTTGAAATTAAGCAATTGTATGTTCAATTATCATTATTTGATACAAGATTCAAAATTCAAGGTCAAATGTGTCACAATTGAAAAGTCAGTGATCAAAGTGTTATGAGCCCCAAACTATAGAGACTGGTAGTTTAATTTGCCATTTTTAGTTTAATTTTTCAATTTTTAACTATTTTAGTCTGATTAAAAAAAATTCTGTTTGGATTGAATTTTTGACCTTTTTTTTATAATTTTGTAAAAAAAAATTATAATTTAAATATAAAATTTTAATATATTTTATCTTTTATAAATTAAATTAATCCCAACTATCTTACCCAACCAAGACTCACACTACACTCAAAATAAATTTTAATCACAAATTTCTATGTTGTATAGAAAAATGTTTGAGATCCCACTTTTTGAAGAGTCCCACAACTTTCTTTGGATTTCCACCATTAATGGTGCAGCCCCACTCATATATTAATGGTGGAGATTCAAATAGAGTTTGTGGGATATCCAAAAATTTAGGGTCTCAATCATTGTTATTTCTACACGGCCTGGACTGGATTTTGGGATAGTTTGATCTAGTTTGGCTCATTGGATTCACTTTTGGATTCATTTTCGATAATTTGAATCGTTACATTTTAAGGTCTATTGAATAAATAATTCTTATAAAAAATCACATCAATCGGATAACAGATACTATGTATTCGGATTACTTTTGTCTAAAAAAAATGGATGATTCATAAAAAAGTGATCTGAATACATAGTATCCATTATCCGATCGACATAAATTTTTACAAGAATAATATACTCAATAAATTTTAAAATATAAACCGTTTAGGCTATAAAAAAAAAAAATAAATAAATGAAAAATAAACCTAATGGGTCGGACTGATCCTCCAGTTATGAGGGCATATTCACTAGCTACATGTAGCTAGCCTTCAACGCTAGGCAAAATGTATTCAATCATTAGGATCATTTCCCTCCATCTTTGTTGTTGACGTGGCATTCTATAAAATTAATAGTATTTGGATTAATAGCTAAAATAAAGAGCATGGTTGGAGTAAAAACATAAAACAGTTGATAAGCAAAATAAAATATATACTTTATAGTAATATTTAGATAAGTAAAATGCCTATTACCGTTGGAGATGCTCTAACATACTCAATAAATTTTAAAATATAAACGGTTTAGGCTATAAAAAAAATATATAAATAAATGAAAAATAAACCTAATGGGTCGGACTGATCCTCCAGTTATGAGGGTGGACTGGAGACAAGTTTGTACACAGTACTGCTTATTAAAAAATATGACAGCAAGGCTTCTGAACTCAGATCCTTTTATTAGTAGCAATAGTTGAATTCTCTAGTCCGCCACCTTCCTCTTCAATCTCTCTCTCTCTCTCTCTCTCTCTCTCTCTCTCTCTCTCTACAATGGAGAATCAGCACCGACTGAAACTGCGAATCTCTCGCATGCTCCGATCATCGTTTGGGTCTTGCAAGTCTCGAAACATCTCAGACGATATCGAGCGACCCATTTTCGTACCCCATCAACACCACCAATTGATCGAACTCTTCTCTCCCAAATCCTCCGAAACTGAGATCTGTTCTCGGCTCAAAGTTTCAGACCGAAACTCACTTCTCACTCCGCCCAACACCTTTAGCCGAAACTTCCCTCCGACATCACCCATTTCGCCTCTCAACTCGCTCTTCGAGTTTCAACGATCAGAGTCTATTCAGAACCAGAAAAAGCCAAGAAAGAAGAAAAAGAAGACAACCCATTTGATCAAAAAAGTTAGTTTCGAGTCTTTT